TACATGTGTTGTTTCTTTTTGCTTAAGCCCTTTTAAATGTGGTACTTGCTACAATGCTGTGAGTTTGTTGTGAACCTTGTGAAACATGTGTCACTTGGTGATGATAATTACTTTATCATGATATTGACATAATCTTCCGCTTGATGTATATGTGTTGTTTCTTTTTACTTAATAAACTTAATTGGAACATGACTTAAAGGGGGTGTTCTATTTTTATTTTTTTTCAACAAGTCATGTATGGGTAAAATGACTGAATAAGCAATGATGTTAGTTTGGATTAAGTGTTGTATACATAAGATTTGTTTCTTTTCTAGAGTGAATAAACTGTTTGAATAAAACTTAAAACTGAGGCATCGAACTTTCCAAAAGAACAAATTTCAAATTATTTATCAAATTTAACAATATTAATCATTTTAACATTAAAGGAGTTGAGAGGAAATAAAAAGAAGGGAAAATATATGTGTGTGTTTCTAATTTATTTGATGAATTGGTATTGACTTTTTTCATATTCAACCCTTCTATTTGACTCAAATTTTCGAGCAACAGATGACATGAGTGCAATATTTGGTGTCGAAGAGGGATGATCCAAGCTTGTTGTGGCTCACAAACATAGATGATGTGAAGAAGTTGCAAAGTTGCAGCAGTGGTTATTAATTATGATTTTAATTAGTTGTAACTAGAATTGATACTAATGATTTTGAGATTAAATTTAATTATTAATCATGTTTTCATTTTATATAATTAAATTTGTGTCGTTATGCACAATTAGTCCGTAAATAAGCAGTAATTTAATTTCTTCTTTAATGGATAGAGGGTTAATTCTGTCATATATTCTAATTTGGATGGTTGATTCAATCTAAAAAAGGAACAATCTTCATTCATTTCAGCATTCATGTATCTAATTATCTATTTAGCACTTTACCCTTATAATTATTTAATAGATAATAAAAGGAAGTTGTGGGGGGGTACTTTACGCTTATCTCAAATGACAAAATAATTACATAAAAATTTGATACAGTAAGTTGTCAGTTGTCACTGATATGGTCTGATGTGATTGATTGTGTAATAACACAGTCCCTTGGTTTGATAATATACATTTCAATTTGTGTAACTAACTCTATTTAATTATTGTATTTTTTTTTGGCTACATTTCATTTTGTGTAACTAGCACAATTTCTTGCTTGATTGCATTTGCTTCATCAAAAACACAGCCCACCACCCAGCCTTATGTAATGTTTAAGTGTAACTTTTCGTTTAAAAATATGCACAAGAAGTGCCCTAAAAAACTAGTCAGATGTAGCCTGAAAGGCTGCACTCCACAATATCATATATCATACACCATGTAGAGCCAAGCAATGCAGTGACAAATAATAATAACAATAATAGTGCTTCCATAATATATATGTTCATTTAGCTACACAGTAAATCCATATGATTTAGGCAGTAGTAATTTCAGAAAGAAACCACAAGTTAAGAATCCAAGGATAGATGAGTATTTTCAAATCTCATTCCCATCACCACTACATACCAGACCTCCAATAAAAAAAACTTAACAATTCCTCCTAAGTTAGCATAATATATAAACCATCATGTCAAACAGTCAACTCATCATCCATCACCTTTTGCGTTTAAGGCTCTTCAAATTCTTAAAAATATAGCTAATAACCTCCTTCAATGTAGCTTTCCTGTTGTCTTTAAAGTTCCAAAGCTCATTCACAACATATCTCCCACTTGGATTATACTCATTCATCTCCTTGAACGCCCCAACCACCGCATCAAATACCCCATCCCCCCATTCTGCCTTGAGATTCTTCAGCAACTCATCCTCTTCATTTATCACTTCCTGCATCATCACCATCATAAATTAATAACAACATTCATAATTCATCCCTAAATTTAAGACTATAAACATAAGCAGCATACCTTATGATTATCAGCATCTACTTTAACCATTTTCATGGGATGCCACTCTGGATTTTTAAGCTTATCCTGCCACAAAGAGCATAACTCAGACGCCTTGATTTGAGCTTCTTCGTTATCAAACCTCTCTTTGCAGGCATCATGAAATGCCTTCATATCAATTTCCCCCATCCTTTTCACACCAATATTTGTTCTCCCACTTAACATATCCTGCAACCCCTGAAAACCCCACAACCAATAACAACTAATTCATAAAACTATTCAAAACATTAATGGAATTCATTCAGTAGAAATATTACTTTAATCAACACTTTGCGAGCTTCTTGCAGCTCATCATTACTCTGGCGTTCCTTCACCACAAGTGTTTGATTCAAATTCTCCATGTTCTCCATTTCTTCCATTTTTGTTTCCAGCTCATTGTTCATCTCCTTAATCTTCTCCTGAACAGCAGCATCATCTTCGTCTCCTAAATGCTTCATCACCTGCAACTTCCCTTTCAATTCTTCAATTTCCATCTCCAATTTCTGTTTAGCATCCAGCTGTCTTTCCAACTCAAGCACTTTCTTCAGAGCCTCCTCTTTCTCTCTCTGCAATTTGCAATTTCCAATTCAACTCAACAAAACTTGTTATAAACAAACACATACAACAAGTTCTTACAAATGTACCTTTTGCTCTTCAACCAGTCTTAACACACTCTCATCAGCTTTCTTTTGCTCAATGGAAGCCATGTGCAGAGAGTTGTTTTGCACGTCATTCTAAATTTACAAAAAGGATGTCAACCACAAAATATAATGATATTTAAAATATGTGTAAACAACTAGACATGTAGATGATATTAAGGAATACAATCACCTTTTTTTTCTCTTCATCCAGCTTTTGTTTCTCCCTTTCTGTTAGAGCTTCCCTCTTGTTAAGCTCTTTACTCCATGAATCAAGCTTTTTCCTCCTTTTCTCCAAGTCAGCATTCAACATTTCTTGTTCATCCAACACTCTTTTCACATGCTCCCGTGCAAGGCGCTGCATCTTTCTTGTCTCTGGGTAGGGACAAGATTGTCATGTTAGCATAAAAGTTAATATAATCTTAGAAAATAGAAAAAAGGAGTAAAGAACCTTCATAGAAAGCTGAATGAAGGCTGTCTTTTTCTTCAAGCATTCTACTCAAAGACATTGTTTTCTGGTTGTATTTAATCTGCAAGTCATCAAGATTTTCATTCCTCGTGTCAATTTCACTGGTTAATTCCACAACTGCCTTGTTTCTTGTCTGCATAGCTTCTTGAACAAGGTCTGATATGGTTTTGAGTTCACGATTCTTGCGTAGGAAATCTCCAATTGCCCCTTGTGACTCAAAGTCATTTGCACGTGCAAGCCATGCATAAATACTTGAACCAGAAGATTTATCAGAAGCAACCCACTCTCTCTTGCTATGGTGATTAGCCTCAAAAGATTTCTCAAACTCCATAGCATTTTTAAACCCTGTCCAATCATTGTTGAATCTGACTAAGGCTTGAGCAGTTGTCTTTTCCTCATCCCAAGATATCTCAACCACTTCAGGCTTGTATTTTGAGAACCTCTTCATCCAGTATTCAGTGCTTTCAATAGCTTCCTCATTCTCAGGATCTTTGACTATATTCACAACTATCCCAGTCCATGGCCAGCAAAACAAATCATTTTCTTCTGAAACAGGAGCAACCGGTTTGGGCTCAGCCACTTTTGGTGGTTGTTCAGACTCATGGGCCAGATCATGCTCCAAGTAGATTGCTAAAGCAAGATGATTCGCCTTCTGTTTTGCACTTCTGTTAGAAGACCCTTTGCCTACCCCTGAAGCATGTTGATGCAGGTCTTTGTACTTGAAGTTTTGCTTCTTTTTTCCAGCACAGAAAGGACACCTCAGTATACCATTCGGGTATTTAACCTTTAAGGTTCCATCTCTAAGTTGCTCTAAGGGTTTGTCTTTGTACTCAGCAATCTCTGACTCACTGAAGTCAGATTCTTCTCCAGAGCTGTGATCCATCTACCTTGGAAACAAAGACAGAATACAACTTAATAAGATCTTTGAGATATTTAAAAGAAGCATAGAACAGAAGAAGGAAATGTAAGTTTTAGATATAAGAACACTCATATACTGCATATCCTAAACACATTCTTACTAAGTAGTAGCATTACATATTGAGGCATAACAGCATCCTCGCTATGGTTAAAAGAGGAAAGAGCTATGGTAGCTATATTTTCTTTGCTAAAATTAGTACGACTACCACTACGTCTACCATACGCTTGATCAAAACCTTCCTATAACGAAAATAAAACCCTAAATTACCAGGCCGGACAAAAATGCACGAAGAATAGAAGAGATTAAGTTGTAATCGACAGGTTGGAGAAGACATAACATCAATAATCATCGAGAAACATCTGATCTTTCAGTGGTTAAAGAATTAAAAACAAAACTACGAGAAAACGAAATGTACCACTCGAGAATACTCAATAAGCGGAGACACCTGCGTCCGTCGACCAGTGGACTGAGAGAAACACCGTAAAGCGATCGGTGAGATTAAGAAAAACCCTAAAGGCTCGTACGGAAGAAATTCCTTTCGCTTTTGTGTGTGTGTGTGAGACTTTGGGGAGACGATGTGCAG